TGAGGAGATGTGCTTCCTACAAAAGCATCTTCAAAGAGGCCCCTAATTTGGTGGTGATGGAGTATAGATCCTTTTATGTGAGAATTTAAAATGATAAACTGGTTTTCATTTGCATCAGCATTTCAATGAATTTCTTTAAATATCCTATAAACTTTTATTTTATATGCAGCAGGAAATACTACCTCTACTTCTGATGATGAATAGGATGGATCCAGATTGTCTAGTAAAACCAAATGGCCTGCATCTTGAGCTCTCTGCAGTTTTTCCTCCCAAGACTGCAAAATTGGAAATGGATGGTTAAGACTTCCATATGCCTAATAAACCTGACTTTTCTTTTGCCTTTTATGTTGATTACTTATTAATAAACCTTCATATAGAAGAAGGGTACATGTGGAGAACCAGAGTGGAAGGGAGAGAGGGAGGCAGCCAGGTATTAAAGCTTTGGTGTTGGGAGGACTACTGTCCAGAACTCCTCATCCTCCATTCCACAGTTAATTTTAATTCTATGCGTATACAAGATAATACTTTGTTTTTACCCATAAGTTGAAAGACAAATGTATTTGTACCTTTACTTTATTTGACTATTCACAGAACATAAATACACAAAAATTGATTCCAGAAATTTAGAACAATGTATACTAGTATACAAAGGCAAAGCTTGAGCATATTGGCGCTTTAAAAACTGAGTGTCTAAAGAAAATTTAGACATGGAACCTTATTAAGAGTTCAAAGGTAAGAGTATAAAAACATTTTCTTTGAACATAAGTTAATGAGGATGTTGAGACTGATAGGGATGATTTGATAAGATAAAAAAAAAATTAAAATTTACCTTCCTCAGGAACTATTCTAATTTGGTGTTACCTGCAACTCAGCCAATTGATACATGGATTCTCTTTATTGTTTTATAATTTCAACTTTTACTTTATCTTGCCAATTTCAACCATTAATTTGTATGAACAATCAAACAACAATTGGGAAAGTCTACGAAAGATATTGGGGAACAGAAACTCACTGGTTGCTTGAACCAACTTCTTTTATCCTGCATTTTAAAAAAAAAAACAATTAAAGTCAGAATATTAACCAAAACAGAACTTGTGAACAGCTTGTGTAAATGTGTGTTTGGAGTCATACTCAGTTACCTGTTTATCTTCTAATGAATAGACAAAATAGGAACCCAAAAATTAAATTATAGTAAAATCAAGAACATAGATCAAACTCAATATGTTAAAAATATAATGAACATTTCCAAGATAGAAAAGTAGGAAAGGAGGAAAATGCAGTTGACAATACTTAAACTTACAATAGCTGGCTTATTTCTAGAAGCATCCCCCTTAGTGAAAGCTACACCATCCGGCTTCTTTCTAGAAGCATCCCCCTTGGTGAAAGCTACACCATCTGGCTTCTTTCTAGAAGCATCCCCCTTAGTGAAAGCTACACAATCTGACGCACTTATATGTGGTTGATCAACAAATCTAACTTTGTGTCTTTCTTTATCTTGACTGTGTGATATTCTAGCAGACTGAGTTCCATTTCCATCAAGAGCAGGTTTAAGTCTTAACATCTCATTTGAAGCACATCCTTGCTCCCCAGTACCAACCATTGACTCTTTCGATTTTGCACATGACAAAAAAATCATATTTACATCTAATCAGTCAAATTGCACAAGCAGAGTTGGCATTAATAACCTCTCACTACAGGGCCTATTCAGCTGCTAGACATACTATTTTTAACTGGAGAGGCTTCGTCCAATTCTAACTTGGAAGGCGCATTTGATGGTCCAGCTGGGTCTCTCAAATTTGTCTGGAACTTGGGAAGCCTGAAGATCTGTTGATTGTTTCTCTTGTTAAAAAAGCACTCCACTGCATTGCAATCAAAATATTTGAAGACCATGGTAGATATTAATTTCCACTAAGAAAAAAGAAAATATAAGAAAAGTTATAGTAGTTGTCATTAGGAGACATTGGTACATGGTAAACATTACACTGTTGTTAATAGTGCTCTCAGAACTTTAAATAAATATATCCTCAGTTTTGTTTTAAAGAAATTCAATCAGATATTTAAACAGTTATTAAATACACTTCAGGTCGTTGTTGAATCTCTTCAGCCTTCACTACATAGTTCCATAGACCTTGCATGACATGTAGCCAATTTTCATCAGGATCTCTCGCATCAGTTTGCTTTAATTGATATCATATCAAGAGAGTAATAAATGTTTTGATTTGTTTGGAGGATGAATCTCAATATTATTTGGTTAGAAATTAATTCTCGAGGCCATTATCTTTGTTTATACAAGAAAGAAGTAAATACACGCTAGCACGCCTTCTACAAGTGTCTTTTCATCTCTCTCAACTACTACCTAATCTGTCAACAAGTTACTCAGTTTTACTGAAGGTTGCCTTATGACAACATGGGTTTGAAGGTGACAGTAGCATCCTGAAGCCCTGACGAATTTTCTAAAATTTTAGCAGAGAAGCCATGATGAAGTTTCTTAAGTTTGCCTTATCTAGCTGCTCAAATTTTCTTAATTCTACATGAAGCCATGATGAGTAACTAAATGAGCATGCATAAAAGTGTTCTACTTTAAACCTAAACTATGGCAACTCTCGACGGTGGCTTGTTTAAGTCCCAGAACAATAGGGAAAAACTGCTACAGATCAATAAATGATAGAAAATACTCACAAAATCGAGTGGCAATTTATCAATTCTTAGAGAACAGGGTAAACGTGTCTAATTGCAATTTAACATCCTATATCTGTTAAAAGCGGCTATACCAGAAAGCACTCCACTGCCAACTTCCAGATGCAGATGACTGACCTTTAATTCCACTTATTTCATCCGGAAAGTTCTCCAATATTTGGCGCTTTCCTACATCAAAATTACGAGAGAAAATGTAACTAGCCATTCTCAACTCTTCTTCAGATGGCTGAGGATTCCTCACATCCTTTAATGTGCAGACAACATTGCATTTTTGAACTATTGCTTCCTGAAATTTGTATTTGAAAACTTGTCATGTGAAAGGATTTTAACATAAACATGAGGACACCCTTGTTAACCATTATGCATGCAGGAAAAGACTTACAGAGAAAGTTTGGCATTCTATAAAACTTTCAATTGAAATAGGAAAACACTAATACGTTGATCTACAGGAAGTAGGCTTATTTCTGTCATGAAAATGAAAAGGAAAATGATTTAACCATATAAACATTTATTTCATTTGCACTGTCCTATGTATACATCATGCATGGAAGGATAATTTAAGCTTCCATATCTACTAGTTTATAACACGCACGTTAACTAACAACTTCCGTTACTAGAAATAGATATGTTAGATTACTCCACACCAGCAATGCATGAACACCACCTTATCCAATGACTATGCTGTCATACTAAATGATCAGTCCTCTTTTCTATAGCTAACCTCATACCAAACTAAAGTCTTTTTTCCTATAAGAACCACAAATTCTATTAACCAAGAAACATCAAATCCAGGTTAAAATCCTCAAGCAAAAACACATACTATTTCAAATTAAAGTCACAATGAATGACACTAAAAGGAATATCACTAAAACATATTATTCTTCTACTCCTCTTTCTTTTTAATTAACACTGAATAAACCATGCAATAGACACTACTTCAATGAGGGGTGAGAATATAAACTTGACATGATTAAATTTATCTCTAATTAAACCTAACTTACCAGAGGATTGACATTGGAGAGGCCTTGACCCACACCAGAAGCTAAAAGTATCTCGTTCCGGCATGGTTTCCAATCACCCAAAAAGTTATGTATATCCAAAGGACGAAAAAACCACACGACCTTTATCTTCTTTTCATGGACCTCTGTGTCATATATTTCCACAAGCTTACCGATATCGGTCTCACGACAACCACTTCTGTAAAGATGTACACAATCATAAAGCGAGTATTCCATGCCTTCCAAAGTGAATGACTCGTAGAACTGGACATGTTCCTCTTCCCCAACTCCACCTTTCTTACCCCAGTTAAAATAATCATCTTCCGTATTTGTCTCTTCCAACCCCACCATTGTTTCTTAGCCCATCCAATAATCTTTGAGAACCTAATATTAAAAAAACAGTAAATTACTTTATCATCTATGAGCATATTAGAATTTCAAACCAGAGAAGCAAAACAAACCTAAAAAAATACTGTAAGCTGTAGTCAGAAACCAAAATGGATCATTGCTCAGCAGGCAAAATCAAATATTTTGGTTTCTGACTACATGTTACAAAATTGTAGTCAGAATAAAAATATTGTAAGCTGTTGTTGCAACAAACCCTTTTACAAAGTTTTGACCCAAGAATCAAAAGGCAGCTCCAAGATCACTAATACAAGTTTAGAGGTTTACAAATTTCAGATCCTCCTGTCATAGTTGAAGAGATTTGCTAGGAAAAAGCAGAACGCTGAGTAAAATCCCACCACTAAAATTGCCAAAAAAAAAACCCATGACTCATTTCCGTACAAAAAGAGAGACATTGATTGGGTGCTAATCGAACACCAAAAATGACAAAAACTTAAATGTGAGACGCCTAGCACGATACAGAGAAACACGTTTGAGGCCACAAGATAACCCCTTTATTTTAATAAGCGGTAGAATCTGAAAAGTTGAAAAGCAAAACCTCCATGTTGTTCTCAAAACAAATCACTACTAATTCATACTTCAAGTCTCAGAAAAATTTTCAACTTAGGCGAAAATACACGAGCACCACGACGGATTCTAGGGTAAACAAAGCACAATGTGAAACAGAGCATCCATGAAAAAAGAAAAAATTGAAGAAAAAAGAAGAAGGAGAAATGCATACAAAAGAAGAGAAGACGAAAAGACAAACCCATGTGGGTACTATGTGAAAGCAAAAAAGAAAAAGAAAAAGTTGAAACCCTCATGACCCGGCCACACATCTAATCAGTCAAATTGCACAAGCAGAGTTGGCATTAATAACCTCTCACTACAGGGCCTATTCAGCTGCTAGACATACTATTTTTAACTGGAGAGGCTTCGTCCAATTCTAACTTGGAAGGCGCATTTGATGGTCCAGCTGGGTCTCTCAAATTTGTCTGGAACTTGGGAAGCCTGAAGATCTGTTGATTGTTTCTCTTGTTAAAAAAGCACTCCACTGCATTGCAATCAAAATATTTGAAGACCATGGTAGATATTAATTTCCACTAAGAAAAAAGAAAATATAAGAAAAGTTATAGTAGTTGTCATTAGGAGACATTGGTACATGGTAAACATTACACTGTTGTTAATAGTGCTCTCAGAACTTTAAATAAATATATCCTCAGTTTTGTTTTAAAGAAATTCAATCAGATATTTAAACAGTTATTAAATACACTTCAGGTCGTTGTTGAATCTCTTCAGCCTTCACTACATAGTTCCATAGACCTTGCATGACATGTAGCCAATTTTCATCAGGATCTCTCGCATCAGTTTGCTTTAATTGATATCATATCAAGAGAGTAATAAATGTTTTGATTTGTTTGGAGGATGAATCTCAATATTATTTGGTTAGAAATTAATTCTCGAGGCCATTATCTTTGTTTATACAAGAAAGAAGTAAATACACGCTAGCACGCCTTCTACAAGTGTCTTTTCATCTCTCTCAACTACTACCTAATCTGTCAACAAGTTACTCAGTTTTACTGCACGTTGCCTTATGACAACATGGGTTTGAAGGTGACAGTAGCATCCTGAAGCCCTGACGAATTTTTTAAAATTTTAGCAGAGAAGCCATGATGAAGTTTCTTAAGTTTGCCTTATCTAGCTGCTCAAATTTTCTTAATTCTACATGAAGCCATGATGAGTAACTAAATGAGCATGCATAAAAGTGTTCTACTTTAAACCTAAACTATGGCAACTCTCGACGGTGGCTTGTTTAAGTCCCAGAACAATAGGGAAAAACTGCTACAGATCAATAAATGATAGAAAATACTCACAAAATCGAGTGGCAATTTATCAATTCTTAGAGAACAGGGTAAACGTGTCTAATTGCAATTTAACATCCTATATCTGTTAAAAGCGGCTATACCAGAAAGCACTCCACTGCCAACTTCCAGATGCAGATGACTGACCTTTAATTCCACTTATTTCATCCGGAAAGTTCTCCAATATTTGGCGCTTTCCTACATCAAAATTACGAGAGAAAATGTAACTAGCCATTCTCAACTCTTCTTCAGATGGCTGAGGATTCCTCACATCCTTTAATGTGCAGACAACATTGCATTTTTGAACTATTGCTTCCTGAAATTTGTATTTGAAAACTTGTCATGTGAAAGGATTTTAACATAAACATGAGGACACCCTTGTTAACCATTATGCATGCAGGAAAAGACTTACAGAGAAAGTTTGGCATTCTATAAAACTTTCAATTGAAATAGGAAAACACTAATACGTTGATCTACAGGAAGTAGGCTTATTTCTGTCATGAAAATGAAAAGGAAAATGATTTAACCATATAAACATTTATTTCATTTGCACTGTCCTATGTATACATCATGCATGGAAGGATAATTTAAGCTTCCATATCTACTAGTTTATAACACGCACGTTAACTAACAACTTCCGTTACTAGAAATAGATATGTTAGATTACTCCACACCAGCAATGCATGAACACCACCTTATCCAATGACTATGCTGTCATACTAAATGATCAGTCCTCTTTTCTATAGCTAACCTCATACCAAACTAAAGTCTTTTTTCCTATAAGAACCACAAATTCTATTAACCAAGAAACATCAAATCCAGGTTAAAATCCTCAAGCAAAAACACATACTATTTCAAATTAAAGTCACAATGAATGACACTAAAAGGAATATCACTAAAACATATTATTCTTCTACTCCTCTTTCTTTTTAATTAACACTGAATAAACCATGCAATAGACACTACTTCAATGAGGGGTGAGAATATAAACTTGACATGATTAAATTTATCTCTAATTAAACCTAACTTACCAGAGGATTGACATTGGAGAGGCCTTGACCCACACCAGAAGCTAAAAGTATCTCGTTCCGGCATGGTTTCCAATCACCCAAAAAGTTATGTATATCCAAAGGACGAAAAAACCACACGACCTTTATCTTCTTTTCATGGTCCTCTGTGTCATATATTTCCACAAGCTTACCGATATCGGTCTCACGACAACCACTTCTGTAAAGATGCACACAATCATAAAGCGAGTATTCCATGCCTTCCAAAGTGAATGACTCGTAGAACTGGACACGTTCCTCTTCCCCAACTCCACCTTTCTTACCCCAGTTAAAATAATCATCTTCCATATTTGTCTCTTCCAACCCCACCATTGTTTCTTAGCCCATCCAATAATCTTTGAGAACCTAATATTAAAAAAACAGTAAATTACTTTATCATCTATGAGCATATTAGAATTTCAAACCAGAGAAGCAAAACAAACCTAAAAAAATACTGTAAGCTGTAGTCAGAAACCAAAATGGATCATTGCTCAGCAGGCAAAATCAAATATTTTGGTTTCTGACTACATGTTACAAAATTGTAGTCAGAATAAAAATATTGTAAGCTGTTGTTGCAACAAACCCTTTTACAAAGTTTTGACCCAAGAATCAAAAGGCAGCTCCAAGATCACTAATACAAGTTTAGAGGTTTACAAATTTCAGATCCTCCTGTCATAGTTGAAGAGATTTGCTAGGAAAAAGCAGAACGCTGAGTAAAATCCCACCACTAAAATTGCCAAAAAAAAAACCCATGACTCATTTCCGTACAAAAAGAGAGACATTGATTGGGTGCTAATCGAACACCAAAAATGACAAAAACTTAAATGTGAGACGCCTAGCACGATACAGAGCAACACGTTTGAGGCCACAAGATAACCCCTTTATTTTAATAAGCGGTAGAATCTGAAAAGTTGAAAAGCAAAACCTCCATGTTGTTCTCAAAACAAATCACTACTAATTCATACTTCAAGTCTCAGAAAAATTTTCAACTTAGGCGAAAATACACGAGCACCACGACGGATTCTAGGGTAAACAAAGCACAATGTGAAACAGAGCATCCATGAAAAAAGAAAAAATTGAAGAAAAAAGAAGAAGAAGAAATGCATACAAAAGAAGAGAAGACGAAAAGACAAACCCATCTGGGTACTATGTGAAAGCAAAAAAGAAAAGAAAAAGTTGAAACCCTCATGACCCGGCCACAAACAAAAGTTGAGCAAGCTCTTGATGAAAACTTGGAGCACAAGTTTACAATGAGATACATACCTCAAATGTTGATGATCATAGAAACGAGAGAAACGCCGTTTTCGATTTTGCTTGCAGTCAAGGGTTTCAGTGTGTTGGTTTTGAGTAAAGAAAGAAAGAAGTTTCCAGAGACAGAGAGAGAGAAGAGGAGGAGGAGGAGAAACAAAATATGTTGCAGGAAATGCTAACGTGGTGAGGAAAAGAAAAGAACAGTACGAAAACAACTTAATATGCCGCAGGAAATGCTAACGTGCGCCGGGTGCGCTCTGCGCATCCACCCCGCAGTCAGTTTCCTCCATTTCTTGAACGAGGCATGTACTGCGAGAATCGCTGAAGTGAGGGCGCGAAGGGAAACGACGGAGACAGAGGTCGTCCACGTCTCACGCGGTTTTTTTCGCGTTGAGCTAACTCGCTTGTCCTTTTCCTTTTGTAAAGAGCGTTGGGAATGTGAAGTACTGCACGCGCCTAGGATGCGATGATTTGTGGGTTGCATGTAGGTCTTAGGCTTCACGTACAGATTGTACTGTTATAGAAGCCATTTTGAAGGCAAGCAACTGATTTTTATTTTTATTTTATACAAATGATATTTAGGGAGGTGAATCGAACATGGAACATAATGTGCATAAAGTAAACTAAAACATCATGTGCATAAAGTAAAGGGATTTTTGTAGAAATATTACATCAACTTATACATCAATTTCAATTTGTCACCTTAAAGAAAAATTTAAGTAAAATGTCACCTTAAGTTTTCAAAATTCATTATTTGTCACCTAACTTTAACATCATCCAATTTTCCATTCATTTTGAAGAGTATTTTAGTTTTTCCAATATGTAAAAGCCATGATGAGTAACTAAATGAGCATGCATAAAAGTGTTCTACTTTAAACCTAAACTATGGCAACTCTCGACGGTGGCTTGTTTAAGTCCCAGAACAATAGGGAAAAACTGCTACAGATCAATAAATGATAGAAAATACTCACAAAATCGAGTGGCAATTTATCAATTCTTAGAGAACAGGGTAAACGTGTCTAATTGCAATTTAACATCCTATATCTGTTAAAAGCGGCTATACCAGAAAGCACTCCACTGCCAACTTCCAGATGCAGATGACTGACCTTTAATTCCACTTATTTCATCCGGAAAGTTCTCCAATATTTGGCGCTTTCCTACATCAAAATTACGAGAGAAAATGTAACTAGCCATTCTCAACTCTTCTTCAGATGGCTGAGGATTCCTCACATCCTTTAATGTGCAGACAACATTGCATTTTTGAACTATTGCTTCCTGAAATTTGTATTTGAAAACTTGTCATGTGAAAGGATTTTAACATAAACATGAGGACACCCTTGTTAACCATTATGCATGCAGGAAAAGACTTACAGAGAAAGTTTGGCATTCTATAAAACTTTCAATTGAAATAGGAAAACACTAATACGTTGATCTACAGGAAGTAGGCTTATTACTGTCATGAAAATGAAAAGGAAAATGATTTAACCATATAAACATTTATTTCATTTGCACTGTCCTATGTATACATCATGCATGGAAGGATAATTTAAGCTTCCATATTTTTCTTATATATAAAGCAAAAGGCAGAAAATGGTGAAACATTCAAAATACCAGAAAATACCCTTGGTTAATGTAAACATTAAGAATTGAAATTATTAATTAAATGAGGATAATATGGTAAATTCACACATTTTCATATTTTAAAAAATTAAAATTAAAAGAAAAATCAGATAATAGATATATAAAGCAAAATGCAGAGAATGGTGAAACATTCAAAATACCAGAAAATGCCCTTGGTTAATGCAAACATTAAGAATTGAAATTATTAATTAAATGAGGATAATGTGGTAAATTCACACGTTTTCATATTTTAAAAAATTAAAATTAAAAGAAAAATCAGATAATGAATCCTATTTTTAAGGAACACAACTACCCATTATTTTTTTAATTCTAAAATAAAATAAAATATTTTTTTAAAAAGCCTCTCGCAAGCGCGAAAGCGCGTGCAAAGAGGCTAGTGTGCATAAAGTGAAGGGATTTTTGTAGAAATATTACATGAACTTATACATCAATTTCAATTTGTCACCTTAAAGAAAAATTTAAGTAAAATGTCACCTTAAGTTTTCAAGATTCATTATTTGTCACCTAACTTTAACATCATCCAATTTTCCATTCATTTTGAAGAGTATTTTAGTTTTTCCAATATGTAAACCCTCTTTTTTATATAATTTAAATATAAAGCTATGTAAACCCTCTTACTTGAAAAAACTATTGTGGCTTATTCACCTTACCTCCTGTTGAGGCCCAAAAAATCCATGGTTGGGCCCGAATAAATTCATAGCCCAAAATGATATATTATTGGAAAAATACCCAATTTGGAGTACACGAAAGTCTGCCATGCACAAGCCACATCCTGCATGCCATGCCAAATAAAAATCTGTCATGCTAGAAATTGATATTAAAATTATAAAGATGCATTTAGCTATGCAAATCCATGTCAATTATCCTATCAAGCGTCATAATTAAAAGCATGCCAAACGACATGCCATGCCAAGCGATATGCCATGCCAAGCGGGAAATTATTATTTCACACCCAATCGCACTACAAGCTTAAGTGGGCCCAAGCCACTGGGATGCCCGGGGCTTGCTTGAGTAGGGTTGTGGTATGGATGGTAACAAATTGTCATGGGGCCCATTGATGAGTCAAGAAATAGAAGTCTCGGGTCGCTTGGGGGCCTCGAGACTCAGGCCCATTTCTTAGGCCCAAATGTGGGTAAGCACAAGAGAGGAAATAGCCCATTACCTCAACTAGGGTAGCCCGACCAAAATGATCCATTACTTTAGATATCCCATAAAAGCCCAAATATTTGGTGAATTTAGCCCACTCATTAAATAGCTTGATTTTCTATATTAAAAAGGCCCAACACTTGATCAGATTATCTCATTCATTGGATGAATCATGTGGCGGACTTAAAAAGCCTACGTAATTAGAATAAAAAGGCAGCACAAGTCTTGGCACTCAGTTGGGAGAGAAAATCACGAAGGAGCTTGGAGAAGTCCACACGTGAAGGGCTGCTAGGAGGCTTGGGAGCAAGTTCCAAGCAAAAATCCTTCAATGAACCAATGGATATTAGCACGCAAGGAAGGATGCCATCCCTTAAACCAGCAGGCGCACCCACTTTCTTTCCTTCATCAGATTTGGCCATGGAAAGAGGAAGAAAGAGGAGAAAATGAGATGGGTGAGAAAGGGAAGTTCCCATCTGAGGCAGCCGCTGGAATAAGCCTAGAGCATCCAAAATCCCTGATTTTGTGGGATTGGGCAGAGCTGACTTTGCCACCATAAAGTAAGTCAAGAAAGAGGAGAAGAAAGGAGGAGGAAAGCTTAGCTAGATTGGGAAGAAACCATTAGGGTTTCTTGGAGAAGAACAAACCCCAACAACTATAAATAGGGCCTCTTCTACCCAACACAACACAACCCACAACCTTCAGAGAGCAAGCTTCCTC